GGACTCCCTGTTCACCGAATCAGAATCTCGTTTCTCCGTGGAACGGAAACGGCTCGTTTTACGTACACCCGACTTGACCCGCATCCATCAAGCTTCGCGTCATCGCGACGGTTTCAAACGATGACCCCCCCCCCTGGATATCTGGACTCGATATCTGTCACGATTCGTTTCATCCATGCAGTTTGTCCCGTTCAATGAATCACGATCAAGACAAATGTATAATTCGGATGCGGTGGTCGCAGCAGCAGCGGACTAGATCCCAATGTTTCATGTGTCGCAGCGACGGCGGTCGCTCAGGAATGTCGAACGGGTCGGTCACAGGGTTAATGCCTGCGCGTTGGGTCTCCTCACGTGCCACCGGACTTTTCCCTCCTACCGGTTGTATCTCATTTGTAAAGAGTCCGGGGGACAAAGGGGGGCAGAGAGAATCGTCTTTATGGATCGGCCCCGCGGTTGACCCGTTGCTAGTGGTCCACGTCGTCGGCCAGACGGTCGTTCGCCGGACAGACAGAAGCGCGAGTCTTGTCAAGCTGCGCGATTCTAATCTGACAGGAATGTATCGGGCACCACGTGGAAATCGGGGGGATCGAGGAATACGCATTCGGTTCGCCCAGCATTAACCAGGCGACGAGCGCGTTCGATTTCCATGAGTTTCTCGACCGACGAATCGCATTAACGATGACGCTCGCTTCTCTGGTTGTGTGTGTGATTTTTTATATAAGATTTCTTCGACGTTTCACTCTTACGTCAATCCATTGTTTTATTGTATCTTCCAATGGCAAACGTTGAACCTTGATGTTATAGGGAACAGGTAGTTTTTGTATGTATCGCGTTAGGCGATCTCGAGCTAATATAAATAGAATATATACCTTTAAGAATGTAACCCATTGGTTTCTATTGACACACGAGGACACGCGAGCTTGTGGACGCGATTTACCTATTACTTTGGTGTATCGTTTAAAGTGATTTGACGATAAAGATACAGGGGGAGGGGGGCTGTCTATTATGCTTGAGTGAAGGAACAGGTGTACTATTAGAGATATATCGGACTTCGTTCGTACTTGCTCGGATAATTGCCGTTCTATCGCGTTTCTTTCGCGTTTTCTTGTCGCCGACTTAATAACGAGTTTCGCCGGGCCGGTTATACGGTTGGGCAATTGACTTCGTCGGGGCTAATGTGTGAAAATCCACGATCGTTATCTCGGTTTCTTTCCCCGATTGGATTAATCTTACGTTTAGAGTATTAATTGAAGTCGTTGCGTCACGTAATCACACTTGAGAAAAACACGATCATTTTAGTAATGCTTGATACTACGTACATTAATAGAGTATAACTGTCCAAATTAAGAATTTAAAGGCCTTTCAAAATAGTTCATAGTCGACTGGACGTTTCTAATCTGATGTTTCGACGAAGAAAGGATTTAGCCGCCACGTGAAAGTTCGGATTAATTCGACCGCCGAAATCGCTACCGAATGAAACAAGCTGTTTCGTTAATCAATGCTCGAATATCTCGCACTCGATCGCTGGTATACCTGATTTGCAGGATTCCTTGCTTTTTTTTTTTCTTGTTCTTTTCTAACAAGCTGCCCGGTGAAATATCGTGGGACCGGTACAGGTATCAAACGAACACGGGGCGGACTTCCGTCCGTTCCCCAACAGAAGTTCTTGTAAAAAATAATTGTCGCTGATTATTCATCGGGACGACGGTTCGTTCCCTTCGGACGATGGCTTGTATACGTTAATGTCGTCTATTACTTACCAGGTATCCTCGACGACCAGGCGGGTCCCACGGGAATCGTGGACGACCGTTTCAGCAAAGGCGTCGAAAAAGAAAAATCGGGGAACACGACGGTGACCGTTGAACATATTTATCTTACGGGTTCGACGACACTCTACTTGCAATCGTGTAATCTTCAATCTCACAAGTAAGCTTCGCATGATTTCGGGGGTTGAAGAAACTTTGTATGCCTGTGAAGCTGTGAAAAATAAGGGATACGTATTTTTTTTTATCAAAAGAGATTTCAAAAGTTATCGGATCGAAAATTTGTCAATGATATTCCAAATGGTATCATATTCCGTTCAACCCCTGGAAAAATAATGAATTCCTTAACATGGTATGATTTAATCGAAAACATTTTATACAGTCTTGCTATATCACTAATGTCAAGTTAACTGCCCCGTATGCGAAAAAATGTTGTACAAGCTACAAACGATTCGCGGAGGGGGTTTGACAGTCGGAGGGCGAAGGTTAAACGAAGTATAAAATGCGTTAACCCGACACCACTCACCGGGTGCAACACACGCACCGCGTTCACGGTGTAACGTAGGCGTGGCTGGTTTGATATCAACGATGGCCACCTTTCGACTGTAAATCAATCGATATCGCGGCAACGGGAGGGGCTTTTCATGGGGTTCGCACGAGGCTGAAATACGACGCCGGGGGTGGAAGCATGCGCCAAATGCTGAATGCGAATCGACCCGCCCCGTGCCTTTTATCCCGACACCGATCGTCCCGACCATCTTTCTCTCTCGCCTTCCTTCCGTCGCTGCTGCTGCTCTCTCCCTCTTTCTCGTTCGCCGATGCATTTGGATAAACATCTGGGCCCCGATTGATTTCGCTGGCCGTGTTAATTACGTCTAGCAACGCTTTCACGCCGACGATTGGTCGACCGCGACTCTAGCCCAGTTTTTCAAAGTATGCTTCTTTAACGAACTAGTAGAACGAGGAAAATAAATTTCTGAGTTTAGTGTGTTGGGATTAATAACAGTGGTATATGTATACAGGGTGAGCCAATAAGAACTACTATCTGAAATAACTCTTTACCTACTGATTGTTTTAGAAAACGTTTTAATGAATTATGGAGCATTTTAAGGGGCACATTGGACGGATACAATTTGATGTTTTTATGTCTTATATTTTTTTTTTGAGTTATCAAGGTGACCTTGAAAATACTTAAGGTCACCTGGGTAACTAAAACAAAAGAAGTTGTAAAAAAATCATATTGTACCCACTCGATGCGTCCCTTAATCTGCTACATAATTGATTCAAACGTTTTTTTGATACAACTAATAGATGAAGAATTATTTTATATAGTACTTAATTCCTATTGGGTCACCCTGTATATGTATAGGGCATTACTGAAATGGCGATCGAAAAGTGAGGTTTAGTCGAATAATATATCATCGTTTATTCAGAAGGGAATCGTTTGTGTAAATACAAATCTGTCAATTAGATTACTTTAGTGAAACATCTGTTCAGAACAAATTGACTTTCAAATTATATCGATGCCCATGGGGATCGAAGGAAATAATTGCTTAAATATTCCTTTTTTTATCATTGTTGAGTACCGACATATTCATTGGAGTCTGCAAGTGTAGGTTCAGTCGTAAATAAATCAGTCTTGACAATAAGTACTCTGCCTTCTATCGAGGACTATTATGTTCATTTCTCAGGACTTTAAACGTTAATTTTTTTGTTTGATCAAGAAGTTTACTCTACAAAAAAACAGTTTGTACATTAGAAAATCTCGAATTACTGGAAGCTAATATCGGCGATCGCGAGGAAAAGTGATATCTTGTACTTGGCGCGCAAGACAGCTGCTAATTAGGTACCACGGGTATTCAGTTCGCCGCGTAATTATTTAATCGGCTGTTTATCCGCAGAAGAGTTTTGTCGGTGTGTTTGCGTTTCTCGTTGTAGATACCCCTAAGGAAATACGGGATCTGTAATGAATTTAGAACAGAGGGAGAAGAGGGAAGATTCGGTTTGAAGAGTAAAACAAGTCGTGATACGTGGCTCGCGATAGTGGGAATATTTAATTCGACTTTTTTTTTAAATAATTCTTACAAGGTATGAGTACTCGATATCGTATCGAGCGTTTCGCATAGCATAGGTAAATAAATAACTAAGTTACTATATCTTACATTTTTACAATAAATTAACCGAATAAACCTAGCATCTCATTGTCTCGCACGTTCTTAGTAAAACTGTCTTCCCTAAATACTGGTTCCGATCAGAGAACAACGATGACTGTTTTTCGACCCGATATCTTCGAGATTACTGTACAAATGGCACTGTACAACCCCATATTTCAGCTGACTTAGGTATATTCACGCTCAACCCGTTTCCCTCCGTCCCCTCTTTGCCTCATTTAAATATCAAACCGGTAATTGCTAGGAACGTGCAATGCTAAAAGTCTTTTGTCGCAGAACGATAGGCGAGCAGATTGATAATTATCGTTGGATCAGGGAAACGATGATTATCGTTCATGCGAAAAATTGACTCCGGGTAACTGAGTGTGAGCTTTCCTCGTGGCTAGCCGTTGCGACGCTTACGAGTCTCGCATCTCGATCGAATAGGAAGCTCTGTGACAACGAATCGTCGGAATTCGTTCGGCAGTCGTCATTCAGGCGTCTATAGCCGGGCCAAAATCAATTGAACGCTCGAGGTCACTTGGGTACTTCCTTCGCTAAACCATGACACCAAAGACTCGAATTATCGAAAACCTAAACGCGATCAACTGACTTTGAACTGACTGTAGGTCAGTGGCACTAGTATCCTTAACGAAATAAATACCCCAGTCTATCAAGAAAAAACGTCGGGACTCTATAAAATTTCATGAACGTCGACAACTTTCGTCCGACTCGCGTAATCTTTCGGCGCGTTTAACGTATAAATTTGCATCGAAATGTGACATGTGCACGTCGGAAACGTTTAATCTTTGGATTGTGAATCGCCATGGCCCGGTACATTGGATGGAATGTAAAGGAGGGATGGTACACGCTAAAGACGAAACCGTTCGAGGCTACGCAAAAATTGTTGGAATAGAACTGGGATAATCCACTTACAGGATTCCTCTGTTCCCGCCCCGCAATCATCCGCTTCGTTTCCAGCTCGACCAATCCGCGACTCGAAACGAAATCCTACCAATCCCCGCGACTCGAACTCACGCGTGGATCTCTGACGAACTGTTTAACATTCGAAACGATCTTATTCCCGTCATTTCGCTTGCAGTTCCGCGGCCTGTTCCTCTTCCTCCTTGGTCAACGGCACCGTCGAGTGATTGTAAAGTCCTTGGGCCATCAGCTGAAGGGCGAGCGGATTTTTCTGGCCGCTTGCCTTCTTGATCTTCGCCCTCTTGTTCTGGAACCAGATCTTGATCTGCGCCTCGTTCAAGCCCAGATCCCTCGAGAGCTGTTGCCTTCGTCTTTCGGTGAGGTATCGGTTCTCCGCGAATTCCCTCTTCAGCCTTGCCAGTTGTTCACCGCTGAACGCCGTTCTCGGCCGTTTCTCCTCGGGGGTGGCGCCACTGCCGCGGCTGTCGGATCTCTTCACCCTCCTCGTGCGGGGACCTGGAACACGTGAGGATCCTGTCGTTAGCTGCTATCTGCCGATATTTCTTATAAATTATAACTATTGTTAATAAGTGAAACTAATTTGGTCCATCGATATCGGACAGCCAAAAGTCATTACAGATGACTAGATTGTGGATTTTATGCATTCATGGAATCGTTTAATATTCACTGTAATAGAAACTTTCAGAAAGTTTGTTCAAGGTTTATTTTTATTTTGAACTTACTAGCACCCTTAACAGGGTAAGTCAATTTTTCTTAGCGTCCAGTTTCGAGAAATTTATCTATACAATTCTATATTTGCATAAACATCCGCATTCTACTGATGATTAACCCTGGATTGCCCTTATATGACATTGACATATTGTTTGTGTTAAAGCTGCTGCCATTTTGTTAATTAACCACTTCAAGTTTCAGCGTTCAGGAATTTTTTCCTAGCTCTTACCACCTACTAAAAAGCTTGTTCTGTTGTCAAACGGAACCCGTTTATTGTTTCCATTTGAGTGAACAGTGACATTCCTATGGATACGTAAATTCTACGTGTCGTTAGCGTTAACAGAATAAATTTTTAAAGTTAGTTTTATTGTGTGATAGGCGTATTAATAGTATAAATTTCCATGGTTAACTCTATTGCAACAAAATAACGTTAACAAAATAAGTTTACCAGGCTAGTTTTACATGTTGTTGATGTATAAAGGCTCTTTAGTTTTTCAGTATTACCAGTTACGTTTTATCAGGAACTTTTCCTTCAATTTCGACAATATTGAAGACCATTTTTAGGTAAAATGCCAGTCAAGAATTTGAAACGTATATAGAAACGTTTGCAATCTAGGGTTAAACGAGAAAGCTAATGCTTTCGAATTTTCTGAGTGTAAGTGTAGATCAAGAGTCCTGTCATCCATAAAAATATGATGTGACAGTCAATGCGTTAAGGTCCACGGGTCCCCAGCGGTTAACACCGAGAACTGCCAATAAATTTCAGGATCCATGAGAGGTGAACGCTAATTATCTCGTACCGGTTGTCGATTAGACACCTCGAACGACTCGGTATAAAACGGCAAGAATAGAAACGTGCCTCGTCTCATGGTCCTGGACTATCTTTCTCTGTCTTTCTCTCTAGCCCCGAGGACAATATATATATAAGCAAACCGGAGGATTAGCTTTACACAACGATTCATAATACATACTCTTCCGTGGCCCGCGGTGGACATTGATTCAGCAAGTTTACGCGCCGATAAATCTGCGAAATTAACGAACCGCCCGGCCCGGGCACCGCGTGCGTGCGCAATGACAAACTTTACGACAACTTTTATTGTCTAGCCGGTCCTGAAGCGGCGCCTTTTATTTTTTTTTCTCCAAGGGCACACAGTCCTAGGCAGACGCTCCTCCGTAACATGGAGGCCCAGCCTGGGAGGAGTTGACGAGTCGGATCTTCCGCGGAAGAAAATAAACGACACTGCACGTGCCTCGAAAGATATCCTATGCTCCGTACACGGGTGTCCTTCCACCGCGTTTATCGTAACCGCGAGTCCTTCGTACTTTGCAGCGACAATTTAATCGTAAATCAAACCGCGTTACTATGGGCGTACCGCGTGTGTATATTCCGCTGGTAATCGTCATTGTTCCTTGTCACGGAAACGCAGAGACTGTTAATTAGATTTTTGACAGAGAATCTACTTGCTCGCGAATTTAATTTTCTCGGACAAAATGTGCAATACGTCGATAAATTTATGTAACTTTCTTTTGGATTTACGAATAATCGTCTGTCGAGAAATACCGGATACAGGACTTTGACGGTCTAAACAATTCTAGATTCAAATCTAGATTTGCGAATACAAAAACTCCGTAAAAGAATGACTAAATGTCGAAGAACATCGAGAGAACAATCCAGAATTCAAAGATACAAGAATCTAGAGATACAGAGTAATGTAAAGGACCAAGAAAATTCTCCAAACAAGAAATATAAAAAATTGGAGAACACAGCCAAGAATCCAAGAACATGGAAAGCCACGAATCCATGAAACAAAGGACACTGTAATCAAGGAGGATCCCAGAACAGAGGATCATAGGGATCCTTCGAACAAGAAATTAACAGCTTCGAAGAACACAGCCACCAAGTCCAGGAACTCGAGTAATTTTCAATCCCCAAAGATGTTTCCCCCGAACCATCCCGGATCTCCCACTCTCCCGGTGACGCTGAAACTGGTCGGCGCTAATAATTCATCGCATAAACGCGATGCACACAGTCCGTGATCCGGCGGCCGCGCCGCGAGAGCCCAGAGAGACCCGTTTGTAAACGGCCGAGGTCCCTGGGCCGTAATTGCAAATAAATCATATCGTAACGATCAACAACGGTGTTATCGGCCACGCTGATCTGCCGGGGTCGGACATTACGCGGAAATCCCGCGTCCGGCCGCTTAACACCGTCCTCCATCATGCCCCGGGTAAAACCTTTATTTGCGGGGTTCGCGAATCGTAGGAGCGTACCCCGCGAAATATGCCTGGCATTAATGTTGCTTGGTGACTGGCCCGTGATATACGAGTATGGAGAAACTTTTCACTGCGAGACTCTCATTCCGCTATCACCGACACGAGATGTAGCTGGAAAAAGCGGCAAATGTTGCTTCGATGAAAGAAAAAAAAAAAAGAAAAAAGAATCGTCAAATGAATTATTGTCGTGAAAACATTCTACCGACATTCTGTACCGTCGCGTTGGAAATTTTAACAGTCGCGTTTTTATGGGAATTGAAACATGGTTATAGAGGCGTGCTAATGATAGAATTACACCGGTGTTAACCCTTGAAGACATGGACCGTGAATACGCCATTTCTTTTTTCGTAATTGCATAAGGCAGCGCAGCAGGTTTTTTGTATGTCTAGTAATTTAATAATGTTCTATTTTTAATGGTCGATAATTAGGACGAAAAAAGAACCGTTTTTAGAGTAAAAAAATTTATAAGGAAATGGAAATGTGAATTGACTGACCGTCGAAGAATTAACAATGACCGTAAAACAATACGCGGCGATAGTTACTTCATCGAAAGCGATCATCGACGTGGGGGAAAGATTTTCAAGTAATATCGGAAAAGCAGTTTGTTCCGCACGATCGAGCATTGCAGCGTGGCACCACGCAACGATTGTACAACAGTTAATTCCTCGTCTCCGATTGGCTCCTCCTCAACGACGGTACAATCGATTCGTAGACGCATGAGCGTGAAGAGATCTTTAAAGGGATTCGCGTTCATCTAATCCTGAAAACCGCCTTCACGGGCTTACGATATCTCGCAGGCCAGGAAACCGAGGATTTATTGAGGAAACTATGGACGAACGGTGATCAGGCCTAATCGTCGTAAATGTTATCTGAACTGAGATATTAGCGTTCTTATAATTTAGTGTCTCGAGGTTTTAATATCAAATTAACTTCCACGTTTATGTCCAAGGTTAAAAGAAGTATGGAGGTAATTGTAACAAAAAATTCTAGAAAAGTGATCTGAAATTATTTTATGGAATTTGATCAGGGATACGCTCGCCCCCCCCCCCCTCTAGAGGGAAAAAAGTGGCCTTATTCTTTACCCTGGAGGAGAAAAATAATATTATAAGATTTACTTTAAGATAAATTTTTGCCCCCTCCTCGACTGATAACTTGGAATCGTCTAAAGTTTTGTTGAATATGTTGTTTCTACAGTTGGTGAGCGAAACGTAAAAATATCCACCGGTTTCGAGGATTATCGGGAGGAGGCAGCTGGCAGTTTCTCGTTCTCCTCTTCAGAAATGACTGCGAGGTAACGAACGGTCGGCAGTCTAATTACTTAAGCGAAGTAGTCTCGTTGTCGGTGGCAGGAAAGAGGCATTCAGAAACCCACTTCTCGCTACTCTCGACTCTTCCGCTCGGTGCTTCTCGCCCGTGTTTCTACCCGGGCTTCCATTTAAGGAAGCAACCCTCCTCTCACCGGCTGCTCGAGGGTAAAACCAATAACGCTAAGACGCCCTCTCGCCTCGAGAGAGAGAGAAAGAGGGGAGAGTACATCCCCGAAAGTACCTTGCATACCGTGGAGGACGCGCGGCCGCCAAGGAACACTAATTTCCTCTGAACCTATCCTTGAGTTAGACGTCAGCTACCGGCTGGCTACGTTCGTCCGTTTCTCCTCGACGCGGCCCGCCCTTGATTAACGCTGCGAGAGAGACTGTCAGTCCCTGAAGAGTTGCCGTTCAAGAACCTCCTTTGGTTGCGTTTCGAAGGAAATAAAACTTTGATTGCCCTGTTGTCTGCTGTTTTTATTCGCGAGGGATTTTATGAACCGAAGATGATGCGTATTCAGATAAGTTGGAGATGGTGAAGGTAAAGAGAAGGTAGAGTGGAAGTTGGATAATTCGGGGTATATTAGTTGGAATAACAGGGATTTAAAATACAAAACATTTAAGTTCTCCATAGATGTAGAGGAAGGTTGCCGAATTTGGATTGTAACCCTACTTGGCTGAATATTCATTTAGTTACGCATTTATTTACATTCAAACGGATGTCCAACGACAAAACAATATTATTGTTTTTCAACCCAGTATCGCGGCGAGAACGCTTCGAACGGCGACGATTTACTTCTTGCCGAGAATTTCATCGATGTAATTCAATTGAGTGAAAAACCGGTCGGCTCGGGAACAATTAAACCGCTTCATCATTGTCCTGTCATCCCGGCGACAATCCTGAGAGCATTTTGTCGCCGAAGGACGCTTGTGGACGTTTCGTACGAGCATCGTGAACATCCTACCGTGTTTCATCCTTGAGCGGAACGAGCTAGTCGATCGAACGATCCTCCTTCTCATCCAGCTTCTTCCGAGCGTTTCCCCTGAACGCGTCTTTGCGTAACGAATCGTAGAAACCCTGGTCGGATCGCTCTTTCAGTTTTGCTGCTTGAATCGCTCGTCACGTTGCATTTAATTGCACTGGTATCGAGGGAGGAAGAGAGGGGGGACCCGGTCTACGGTTAGAATCGGTTAGAAACGATCGCCTCTCGGTCGCGGGCATTGCAAAGATCTGGCGAAAAAAGAGAGAGCGGATCAGCTCCGTACCGACTATTCGCGGGGACTTAGCGGAATCATCTTCCCTTTAATGATAGAAAAAGTCTGCAATTTAATCGTCGAACGTGGACCTTTACGATCGAAATTTATCGCGAGCTTTTCGTTCGAGTCCTTCCTACCCCTGTTTCGTTCGACTTCGGAACGTTTTATTTTGAGTTTCGTTTATATTTAAGTGTTAATCGCGTTCGACCATCATTGACACAACACTTGGACAAATAGCTCGACAGTCCCTGAAACGTCCAGCGGGCAGACTCGCCAAGGAAGGAGACCATTTCAAACAGATTCCTTGAACCGCACGTAAGAGGAACACGCATCGACTACGGTATCAAGTCCTCATAAATTTACCAGGTGCTCTTGCAAAACTATGTTACCGGAGATTTTTTCCGACCCCAAGGTGAATGGAACAGCGCGTGTCCAAAGATCGCCGGTTTTATCCGTGGAACTTCGCAAGAATGTGCCACAAGCGATTCTTCTTGGAACGTATAATTTATACATCACATCGAACGAAATTCAAAATAATCGAAGCTATTAGAAATAAACCTTAACACTTTGATTATCACTTTAACTCACTCGAAAGCTTAATTGTCTCTCGAAAAACCTGAACCATTTGCTGGACCCTATACAAGATCAATCTGAAACATCGTTTTACACATCTAAGAAAAAAAAGTGTACGTGGTCTTCGGTTGGTCGTCTGTAAAAAAATGGTATTTCACGTCACGATCTCGTATCGTATTACATGACCGCCATACCTACGATCCGTCTAGAGCTCCCCCTTCGATCCATGATCGATAATCCAGCCGTATCGAAAGTATACTCGACCGCGATCAGAGAATCGCGCGAAGTAAGTCGTACGACTATGAATTGCGTCGTTCTAAACGTACGTGCAACGATCCGGCCTGGTCTTAAAGCGCCACTAAACTTGCCCGTCACGTTCCTTTTAATTACGTCTGCCAAGCATCGACGGCCACGAAACGACGGAGGAGCCGAGTCCGAGGGGGGGGGGGGGAACGTTAGGAATTCATTAACGATACTCTGTAACCAACTGGAGCCTGGCGAACTGGGACAGGTGCTGGATCATACACGGCGAAACGGCGAGGAGAATTGTCGTTGGCGAACGACACGAGTCGATATATAGTGTATATATATATAGAGGGACGGTATTTTTACGACGACCCAGGTGTCCCAAAGACGAAGAATGTTCGCCTCGGCTGATGTGGCGAAGTTAAGAACGAAGGCGAGTTCGCGATAGTGAAGCTGACGTTGAAAACGAAATCGATTGGAAGGAAGAGACTTTTTCTTGTTGGATTATTCACCTAGTACTACTTGATGCCACTCATTTTCTGAAATTTTCCTTCGCCATTTTGAATTTCGTAAATCTGACTTTAAAAAAGTCTACAAATACTGATCATCTTAAAAATCTGCATGTTCCGGTAAATATAAACAAATGAGCAACGAAATTAGTAATTTAGACTAAACAGATCAACAGATAATTTCATTGAAGAATTTAAGAAAAAAAGAGCTTTAAATTTCTTGAAAACTTACGACCTGCAGACCAATTTGAAAAAAAATGAGTCATTATGTACCACTGTGCGACTGGAAACGCAGAAAATATTGAAGCGTCAGCAAAAACCTCGACGTACGTCCGTCTACCTGAGGACAGAATACGAGAAGAAACTTTCGTTCTGTGTAACAAAAGAGCACGCTGGCAGATCTACGACTTGTCATCCGATCTCTGGTTACTCGTTCGCCGTTCAGGATCGATCGAAAGCTCGGTTCCCATCGGAGTTACTGGACGAATCGAAATCGATGTCAGCTTCACCGGTTGCTCGCGATCGTCTGCAGGGAAGACTCGACGTTTCCGTGAATCAGATCTATCCAGAGCTCGACCATGCGTGCGTACACAGCGAACGGAAAATGACTCGAGTAGTCGGCTCGATCGGACTCGAGCTCGGCCGGCCGCTTGAGTTATGACTACGGCCATTACGCGGGACAAACGAGGCTAAGCGTGTCGACACGGCCGGCCAAGCGGCCTTCCCGACTTCTCCGGTGATTCTCGATTCCCGAGAATTACGAGCTCTCTCGACGAGCCATCGCCGTGTTCGATTGACAGTTTTAAAGCTGACGATCTTCCCTCGTTATCGAGAAGGATCGCCTTATCCTTAGTTTTTCATCGGTATCGCGATGGACAGAAACCCCCGTGACCCAGATTTTAACGTTAATTCGCGACGAATGATTCCCGATGTCGATTTTCCGACGACGTTACGAATCGAGTTCTGCGTCAGGATGTCTCGCGGAATGGGAACGGGAAAACGCGACCGGTTAACGAGCGAAATGTCATTCGAGGAATTGAGACCTCTTCTTTGCGGCTGAAAGGCATACGTTCTTAGTTCGCGATTCGCTTTGTTTTTATCGCGGTTAGAACACCGTGGGAATAACCGGCTGAATTTTCGAGTAATCGAGCGCATTTCGCCTCGGGGGAATGCTCTGGTCTTCGTTCGTTAGTGTTCGGAGCTAATGGGTGAAATCCGCGGGGTTTTGCGGCGGTGAAAACGACGCGACTGGACATCGAAACGGTGTCGGTGATCTGTGTGATTTGATTCACGAAGACTGTGCTTTCAGCGAGAGTTGGACACGATTTTATTCGAGTAATACCTAGTGAAAAGCAGTCTGAGATTGTCATCTTGACCTTTAATATCCTCAGACTCAGTGCATACTGTAATGTACAATAACATTTATTCTGAAGACATTTCACGTTTCATTTTCACCGGGACTTTTTGTAGAGCATAATGTATACCTTATTTATTATTCGTCTGCTGCGTCCTTGTTCCACACACAAAATAATTCCACAAATAAAGTTTTTTAAGATAGAAAGTCAAGTGTGAAGAAGTTAAACAGTTAATGAGATTAAATAATTATTTCTCAAGTGTCTACTCATTCAAGAAAAAGTATATTTTATTACAAAAATTACGATTCCACGTTCAATTGATTAAAAATGGTGAAGTATCTCTTCATCTTTTATTAGTTATTCGAAAATCTTTATGCAGATAATGAATTTGCCCATCTCTGCTTTCATCTTATTGATTATAATTATTAATTTGTCAGGAAAAATTTATGTTTCTTGCTTTCCTCAAGAGATGTACTATTGTTTTCCGTTGAATGATTTATCATATTATCATTAATGATTTCACAGTGTGTATAAGTAATAATGGCTTCGGAAAAGCTCACGTTCTCTGATGCCATTTCGTCATTAGTCTCGCCTAGCTCTTTCTCTCTTTCTCTCGATTGTACGGCCTCTAACAGTTGTTGGTCGTTACTTACTTCGTCCTGAGAACAAAAAAGAAAAAACACACCGGTTAAAAAGCATGATCGTTGACAGGGATTTCATTAATAATAATCAATTACCCATTCTCGCGTGCGTCCTGCGCGTCCCGATAAAACGCCGGAAAAAAGAACGGCTTATCGCGTCTTTCACGTCTGCCCTAACGTCAATTAATGGAACGACGATAATGATTTACGATCCGACGTGTGTTCGCTCGTTATCTCTTCCACCGTCTGCCATCTTTGTGGAACCTTGTTTCCAAGAATTATTAAATTTGAAAATCTTCCTGCGCGTGCGGTACGATTTAATATGTCTCTACTGACTCGTCTGCCCATTACTCGTTATTTCTACTTGCATTAATTTTTGTAGACTTTTCAGTAGAATGGTGTTTTATATATCTACAGATTATTACATTCAATTATTAGTAACATGAAACAAACTGATCGAAAGTGTAGAATAATCAAGGTTTGGTTTATTAACAACTCAACTTAACCATTATTATGTTGCTTATATTTTATTATAAGTAAATTTCTATTGTTTATGTGTATACTTCACTCCACAATAAAGTAATTATTATGACAGTAAGATACGAACAAGAATCATTAATCGACGAAGAACAACACGGACAATGCTTGTAGTAAGTAGAAAAGACCAGTAACAGGCAGACACACTGATCAAGTAGAATTACAACTCCGCGTAATCGACAAGTATTCACATCAAATTTTCCCAAGAAATAAAGCTTGGAACAAATAAATTGTATTTCATTCTCTTTCCTCAAATATCCTCATTACATTTCTACAAATATCAACTACGTATACAGAAAATATTCGTTCAAGTACAGACGTTTTCTACTGCCTTCAATAATCAGATCTAACACGGTAACAATACTATCAGGTATACAAATTAATTCGAGACCCCCACAATTAATGACGCAAAAACCGTCATAATTTTCTTCGATAGAGGATTCACCAACTGTTCGAGAAATTTACTAAACATATAAAAAGTAATGTGAAATTTTTGTCAAGCCTAGACTGTATTTTCGTTTTCTAGAAATGTACAATAAATTTGTATACCTAATACTATTGTTACTGTTAGATCATTTTATCGAAGACAATAGAAAACGTAACAAATAATGATAAACAGTAAGACACAGACTAAACGTGTTCCCATCGAATAGTGGCAATGCAGTCTGATCAATAATATTTTCGCAAATGTTCGCGAATGGTCGATCGCGTTCAGCCAGCCAGATTCCTTTCCCGTGCGAACGAAATATCCGATAGAGTTCGGGGAGATCCATCGAAATTCCTGAACAAAAAACCGAATGCTCGAGCGAAAATAACGCGCTGGAGCGGATCGAGCCGTAGTGTGACCGTGGGACACAGAGCGGAGCAGAAATCCGCGAGATACACGCCAGGCGTATCTCGATCGGCTCGCGCGATTTCATTCGCTTTTGCACGGCCGCTGATTACCAGAAGGGTGGAGGACTCCGTTCACATTTTTCCAGGCCACTCGTTAAGGTGTTTCTCTCGGGGGCCCACGGAATCGTACGAAAAGTAGCCATGGCCCGTAGCCATACACCCATAACCATAAATAATGACCATTGATTGGTCACTCGTCGATCGTTACCAGCGAGTACGTGACTGCGTTTACGTTTCCACGGGTCATTAGCTCGTTTCCATTAAGGCGCGGTCACGTCGGTTCTCTCTCTCGATCGTACGTTCCCTTTCATCCCTCTCTACGATCGACTGTCGATCGGGACCCCGATAAAACGTGGCTCTTTTAACGATTTTTCTGTGTTACGTATTTTGCACGACATACATCCTTCGGATACGTGCAATTTAAAAGGGAAATGAATAAAATTCACGTGAATGAGATTTCAATGTTGTGTGGATATCAGTGTATCGATTGGAGCAATTTTCTTACATACGTGAGTAATAGAGATTTTATTGTCAATCGATGCGGTTTGTGTCCACTTTTTATGTTAGGCTTCTGAACGAGGATCGTCAGTTTTTTTATTTGCTGTAGACTCTGGTTGCATTAATTGCAAATATAATTTTTTTTTTTTGTGTAGAATAGTGGAATAGTAACGTGTTTATATCCTCATTGATTCTGAATGTCAATTTCATCCCGAAGCGAACGACATTGCCAGAAGAAACGAATGATCGTGATCGAAACGACTTCGGTCTTTATACGCGAACGGATGTCTGACATTAAGAGTAATGAGAAATGGAAATTCGTAAATAATATATTAGTTGAAGAGACGATTAATGACTTCATTCCTGGTTCTGATTCCCTCGACAGAGCCGGTTCTTTCGGTGTGCTCGCCTCCGATTTACCCTTTTTCCGGGGTCCACCGTGTTCACGACTTTTTTCCTACACTTTCGAACCCGAGGAGAAGCGATTAAATCCGTATTAAGCGCGATTTTCTTTTAGGGAGTTTGCATCGTGTGAACTCTTTCCTGTATTCGTAATCAAGGCGATTAAAGAGACTTCACTTAAGAAGTTGATTTCTGTTTTATAACGGTTGAACGAACGAGGAAATGATCTGTAGTACGGAAATCTACTTCTAGATTTGCTTGGATTGAGTCATAGATGTCTCCAGAGTTCACTGAATGGAACAATTTTTAAGACATAAGAAATTTGAAGAAAAGAAGGAAGACTTATTTATGTCTTCATTCTTTATATTCAACGTTATCTAAAGTTTCTACTACAAAAGTTTAATAATACATTGTTTGTTGAACAACAAAACTATAGCAACCGATTAAAATAGAAGTTTTTTGAGTTTCGAAAATTTTCCTTTTGAAGACAAATCCCCAAGGAGGGGGTAAAAAAGGGCTATGATTAATCATTCATTTTCAAGACCCAAATTCACGTTTTTATAGATAATAATGCTTCTTTGAAACTGTTTCAAGAACCAAAATCGATATTGTAACAATTTTCGATCCCAGTCTCCAGACAGAGAGCCAATAAAAATCGATACACTGTCACCATATCCTCATTAACCGAAAAACAAATCATACTGGCGAACGAACCAGAATTGCCCCATTCAGAGCCGGTCGTTGCAGATGGCAGTTCTGGAATCAAGAGGGGTTAATAAGCAAGCGCGAACGGGATCGTCCTTATCACCGCTTGTTCGCGCTGTTTAACCGTGCACGGACGGTCGCGTTAAAAATAGAATATAGCATCATTGGGATCGATTGGCCCGCGGACGTGCATTTAGACGGTTGATCCTTCGCCGTCCAGTCACGATATTCATCGCTTCCCGTGGCGAGATAACAAAGATACGAGATAAGCGTGGTTATCCGTGGAACCCGTGGGGCGAGCATAATTCACGGCGAAACGATGTTCTACATTGTTTCAATCGCGCCGCCGCGAGCATCGAATAAAGGGGGGCTCATTGTTATTATTAATTATTACGTTGAACTACGATCTTACCGTGCCGGGATCGTTGATCACCGCGAGATCGATATCGGTTGTTACAGATCTGACTATCTGATCTCTCGAAGATATATACCGATACTCGAACCAGTGTTTCTACCGTTCCGATCGGATCTCAAACAATGTGCTGAAATATCGCTTGTTGCATTCGTGTACCGAATCGTGTCACCCTTGTATTACAGCATTTCCGGTCGATTACAAGGTTTTTATCGTCAACGAGAGTTTCGATACCGAAGCCGTGAACGAGAATTAAGTTTCGTTTGGAATATCGTTGAAAAAGGGACTGGAGACTTTGTTGCAAAAGAAACAACGATTTGATCGCTAGATCATCTGTGAAACGTGAATTGTAGAGGGTTCGTACTCGATCGTTCATTTCCTTTCGCTGGTCTTTTAACGAAGAAAAAAGGGGCAAAGAAACGCTCAAGGTACACGGTTACCTTTTCCTTTTCCTGCGTAAGACCGCGGTTATTTAATCGCCACATTGTTCTCCCAGGGCTGGGGATCCAATTATCGAAAATTTTCTTATTGTTTTACCGCGATCGGGCCACCGATTTTAAATGGTACTCGGATCCCATGCCCGCGGTACACAACGGATTAGTAAATCGCAACGTGTATCATGTGGATATCGTCGATCACGTACTTCAAGTTGCCCGACCGAAGATATTAATAACCATCATCGATAGCGATTACGGTTTTCCATGAACGATGAATAACTGTCCGTAACCGACTAGCTGGCTGATAGTTGTTCCCACGAGACTGTGGACCACGGTTACGGAACAATCCACGGGTTGGTGTTCACCCATGAAATCATCGATCCTGGCACCAGCCGCGGTCGAATGCACGATGACATTTCAAATTAATACGCGATCTAATGAACAGTTGAACCGAGGCACCCGCTGGTACACGTTTGCGCACGCGAATCAGACAGTCGAATTAAGTATCGAATCGTTCAAGATCGGCTTAGAGTTTTTTTAAAATCGGATTAATCATTTTTCACGTCGAGGTGGCTAGAAACGCTGGGCAGGATGATATTGGAATTGCTGGTTCGTCATTTTTATGTGTTTTATCTGACAGGTACCGTAAGTTAGTTATTATAATTCTATTGGCTTGTATTTTTGTACCCTCTGTGTTCAGTTTCGAAACCATTGAATGGTCCAAAGTTAACAATACAGAATTATCAATAGTAGCCTGTCAAGTTGAATAAATTTGTAAATAATTAAATAATTAAATAATTTCCAGGAGGTTAAAAAGACAGTGCACCGCTGCGAATGTTTTATAGGCCAGTAAAAGTGTTCAAGAACGCCAAATACAAAGTAGTGTACCGTTACCATTCGACAACCTAGTACACTATGAAATCTTCATCGAGATCACACAATGGGCACCTTTGATTCCACGAGGCAAGCGGGCATTTATTTTTCCTTATTTTTTTTCGGATAATTGTTGCCCGGTAATTGCCGCCTTTTAAAGACAAAGGCAGCCTTAATAAGCCTTCCTAATGCTTAATTCATTCGCGGTCGATCCAGCGCTGCGATTTAGAGTGGTTACCCGCGGAAGAGGGAAACCGTCA